CTTAAAGTAATTAAAAGTAAGTAAGAAAGTATTCGACTGTTATGATTTAAAGTTGAAAGGATTAGGATTTCATGTTAATTTGATTCTTACAAAGATTTACTAAGAAGTTTTATTACCCATAAAGACTCGATCAAATTTGTTAATTAAATACATATACGTGGTACAACAACGCTACAGCTATATTATGGCAGTGACACGAATGGGTCGGCTCGGTCAGGAAAAGAATACCAGCGTAAAATAGCAGTTTAGTCCTGCAGTGTTCATAGAGTTTCATAAAGTGTGTCTGGAGAACCGGAGTTCCGTTTTAAACTAAGTATACCATCTTAGTATTTCTGGGTGACAGCGTATCGGCTAGACATAAAACTTTAAAATAACCGTCTTATAAGACTACAATACAACTACAGAAATGTCCATCCTGACGTATTCAACAATGACATGAGATTCTAAATTACTATTGATGGCTATAATCAACTACGCAGACGATATACAGTGCTACGAGTGTCTGCTTTTATACACAGTTACTCGTTTATCCTCCACCAAAGATTGGGGATCTAATGTATCCCACATTGTCAGAGATACGACAAAAACACAATAAGACCCAAACCAACCATTTCTATTTTTGGCACTATTATTTAACAGTATTTTTGTATTACCCTTAACTTTAATTATTTACTAAATATGATTAACTGTAAAACATTTTTTGCAGTAATACATAAAACAATTTCGCTAACGTTCTCCTCTGTAAAATGCTAAACTAAACAGGAGATTACAAGAAAAAGTTAAAATATTCTAAGCCCTCGTAAGCTCTTAAGTAAGTCATAAGTAAGTAAATTTAAAACATTCGCACTTGCTTGTATTAACAGTTAAATTATTTATCCAGTAGTTCAAGTAAGCGGTCAAGATCTTTTGCATCGATAGACAGTGAGTCATTTTGTTAGTTTTACAAAAAAAGTCATCTTTTCGCATACATGGCATAACCAGTGTGTCCTATGCACTAACCTATGTCTATAGGACCTACCGACTACGACTATGACTTGTCTTTGTGGAACAAGTTACAAACATTGGAAATTCCTGTTGTCTTGTTCAGATGGACTGAATCATAATATCATCATCACATTATGTAAATTACATCATATTATGATCACTCTATATATATAGGTGACCTAATTCGATTAATTTTTATTTATTTTTTAACTTTACATTTACCAATAAAGTTAAATTACTCAATTTTACGTTATAAGTATTGCGAGTGATTATTTTCCTTAAGCGGAATATAATTGCCAAAACATCGTATTTCTGACACGATATTAACACTCGAATAACTTTTGCAAACAATTTAGGGTTATAAAGGCTTAAAAGAAATATATACATAAATGTAATTCTCAATTAATATTTATATTTAATATATTTTAAACATTATTATATTAATTAAGAAAAAATATTATATAAATATTATAAAATTTGAAATATATTATAAAAAAGTAGAAATTTAACGTAAGGAAAAATTCGTTAAATTAATCTGTTAATTTATTAAGCCCAAAAACTATTAAAAACGAATCGAAAATTAGAAGATATGAAAGAATATCATCTGACCTCTAATGTCAAGTGATTAAGTATTATAACGTTCCATTAGATTTTTTTGCGAACACATTTCTTTTAATTGCACCCGTTAAACAATGAAAGGTGTAAAGCAGTGAATATTACATTCACCGTCTGAACACAATGGCAATAGGAATGAATTGCAAAAGGACTACTTCACTCATTTAATAGTAATGAGAGAACTTAATGGAAATTATACTGGTGGATAGCCGTGCAGTTTCTACTATGATGATAATAAATAGTATTTGACTTGAATTTCACCTGACATAATTGAAATGTTTTACTCTTAATTAAAAGTTTGACATCTATGGAAACTGAAATTGTTAAAACGATTAAAATACCATTAATACTACTAATACTACCGTCATCGATTCCAAATAAATTGAAACACTTGTTTAAGGAGTACGTGCATGTGTGATATCATAGCCAGTAACTTTTAAATCCGCAGTCCATACTGTACCTAATACATGTACTTAATGTAACGTTAATAATGTTTATATTTTACATTACATCGCCTGATTCCCATAGTTCCACATACATATCTACATAATATTTCATTCATGATACTCGTAATATTCATTTATCTTTCCTATTTAGAAATTGACACATCTGTACAAAATGTACTGAACAACGTTTGACTCAATCCCGACAACACTACGTAACAGATATTTCTTTCAAAGAGTGATTATTTTTCTTTTGTATTTTTGTAGTTAAAATCAATTTTAGTATTTTGATTCTTATAAAAAACGAAATAGATTTTTGCCACTTACACCTTTTACAATTCTTAACTGTACTTAGTAAAAATACTCTCACCGCTGAGAGGAAGGACTGAAAACAGCATATACAAACGATCCTGCTTAAAATGAACACGTATCTGCATTATTACTAGTTAAAAGTTAAAACAATTAGACATTTATTATTTATTTATTATTATATCCAGCTACTACCATCATTACAGGATTGCCCTAATACGAAAGATAAATCAGACTTTTTCCATATCATAAATATATAAACTGAAACAAAAATAACAAGGTAGAACTTGTGAAGTCGTTCAGAGAAACATTCGAATATATCAATCCGCTCAGCCATCGCTTTGAGCGTACGTAGCACGCGGATGAGCGACGATTCGCGTAATAAATTGATTCTTGCGCGCGGCAGTTCAAGCAGTCGCACTCGACACCGACGCTCGTTCCTTCGATCTGGGACGCTAAACTCCATCTCCTGCAGGATAGCTGGGTCATTAACCACATCCCATAACACCTTAAATAAGTGTGGCCAGCGATACTTCCCTTCTTACTTCCAGTTTACCGTATTCTACCATACTGAGGAACATATAAGTAGAATGATTAAAGACCAGTGTTCGTAAACTAAAGAATATAGTTTCCCATTATTTCTTTAACTAGATTCCCGTAATATGCGTATGGTTATTATTATTTAATATCAACTTGTTATAATAGGTTGGGGAAAAGGTTTCTTCGTATTTTATTTGTCTAAAATTGCAGAAAAATCTCTTTGGATGTACTGTTTGTATCTGGCTGGTTTTAATATCAATAGATATAGGACATTAAAAAAGAAGTTAAAAAAAAACACATTTTTTTTTTCTGTCTACTAATATAAATGAGTCTAACTAAGAAATTCGATACATACTGAAGCTTTATTATCGTTTAACATTAAATTTAAATTGAGAACGTAAAATATAGTATGTTTATCTCGCATTTGTTTTTTGAGAACACAATTGGAGGCTCAACGGCTCTGTCTATATTTAATTATAGAATATTATTAAGACAAATATAAAGTGTAAATAAATATAGTGTTATAAAGTGCCAATAAACTGGTTTTTATTATGATAAATTGTTTTGCAATAAGAAATAGTCAACAATTTAGTGGTGCTTCTCCCCGGTAAATATCGTGAACGTCGGCCATTTTCACTTCATTGGAATTTCAATTTCGGGATCGAAAAACAAAATTCATTATTCATACGAAAAGAAACTTTAAAGGGTAAATTACTCGGACGCTCCTACACGCTACCTTCGGGAAAGAGATAAGGGAGGTGAAGGATAGGGTTTCTCAATATGACAACCGCCTGTCGGAAGCTAAAACTCGAATTGAACAAGTGTACAATCAAGTTGACAACGTGATGTCTGACGTTAAGAAAGCTCTGGACAACCTCAAACTTGGAGATGGAGTTACAGCTCCCGTGGTAGCCACAACACCTTCGCTGCGTGGATTCAAAGTGCCGCCGATCGACGGGATTTCTTCCTGGTCGGCCTACAAAATACAATTGGAGGCTGTCATGAAGGCGAACGGCTGGAATAAAAGTCAGGCCATGACTGCGCTCACCCTAGGCCACATCTTTCGTGCGCAGCTCAAAGATCGCGTGCAACGCAGTAATGAAAACCTGCAGCAGTGGGTCCTTGAGGTGGAGAAGCTGGTTCGAAAAGCATACCAGTCTGTACCTACGCTCATTGTAGGGAACCTGGTGCAGACATTAATCAACGGCATCCGCGACCTTGAAGTTAGAGCTGGTGTGAGGCTAGGGCACCACGAGACGCTTAAGGATGCGTTGGCCCATGCACTGGAGGTGGAAGCTGTGCGACAGGATCATCGTTTCCATCGCGTCAGGGAGGTTGCAGCAGCTACAGTTCGCGACCGCAATAAAGGATACAGCCATAGGTGCTACGACTGTGGGAAAAGGGGCCATCTTCGATCCAGCTGCCCTAAGCGAACTGTAGAAAGGGAAAGTGATCGATCTCGAGAGGGTAGTGCGGCTAACAGCACCGCCCAGCAGCAGCAGGGAAACTGGCGGGTGTTGGCTGATGTTAAAAGAGCCCCAAGGATTTCGATCTCACAAACCCATGATGGAAACAGCCTAATCATCAAGAGCGAGGTCAACGGAACGCCGTGTAAACTGACCATAGACACTGGATCCTCTCGCACGGTTGTCAGTTCCCAACTTATAAGTCAGTTCCTTGGGGACTCCGCATACAACCGAGCACGCATTAATTTGGTGACAGCCACCGGTCAGTGCAAACCCGTCCATGGAGAGAAGGAGATGGAGTTGAAGCTAGGTAGCATGATCTACCTGCGGTAGGCACATTGGTTGGTACTAGTGAGGAAGTGGATTGGTTGCGTCGGTGCCAATGTCTATCGACTGGGGCCCCAGCAAGGATGGACAAACGAGAGTGACCACACTTTTAGAAGACTGTCGCAGCGTTCTCTCCCCGAACGAAATGGTCAAGGCGTAGAAGTTGTTACTTAAGTACGCCGATATTTTCTCGTCAAACGATGCTGACATAGGAAAGACTGGCTTAGTTCAACACAAAATAAACACAGGAGAAGAATTGTCTATCCGTCAGCGGCCAAGAAGATTGCCGGTAGCACGTGAAAAGGAAGTAGAAACCATGATTGAGGGAATGGTGAAGGATGGTGTTATTGAACCTTCATCTAGTCCATGGTGTTCACCTGTGGTGCTGGTAAAGAAGAAGGACGGCAGCATGCGGTTTTGTGTTGACTACCGCCGCCTGAACGACGTTACGAAGAAGGACAGCTATCCCTTGCCAAGAATCGATGACACGCTGGACATGCTTACAGGAGTAAATTGGTTTAGCACGCTGGATCTAAAAAGTGGTTACTGGTAGGTTGAAATTGACTCTAAGGACAGGGAGAAAACTGCGTTCTCGACAGGAAAGGGTTTGTGTCAATTTAAAGTTATGCCGTTTGGATTGTGCTATGCTCCAGCAACGTTTGAAAGGCTGAAGGAGCTTGCACTTACCGGGCTAATTGGCGATGCCTGTCTAGTCTACTTGGGTGATATCATCATCGTAGGCCGTACGTTTGACGAACACCTTCAAAACCTGGAACGCGTGCTCATGAAGATCCAGAGTGCCAACCTCAAGTTGAGTCCGAAGAAATGTTCACTAGTCAAAAGGCAAGATAGCTTTTTGGGGTATGTAGTGTCGGAAGAAGGTATCCACACGGATTCAGAGAAAATTGCTGCTGTCAAGGATTGGCCGGTTCCAAAAGATAAGACGCAGTTTAGAGCATTTTTGGGCTTGTCCTCCTATTATCGGCGATTTGTGAAGAAGTTTGCAGATATAGCCAAACCTCTGCACAAGCTAACCGAGGAGAAACGACATTTCTGCTGGGATGAATGTTGCGATATCGCATTCCAGGAGCTCAAGGACCGTCTGTGCAAAACACCTATTTGGGGTACCCTGATGCGGGCAAGGAATTTATAGTTGATACAGACGCAAGTGATATAGGACTTGGCGATGTGTTGTCTCAACGGAATGGTGATCAAGAGGTTGTGATAGCGTACTTCAGCAAGTCGTTGTCAAAGCCGGAAAGCCTGGAAAAGTTCTTGCAGCATTTTAGCTAATATCTTCTAGGGCAGAAATTTCACTTACAAACTGACCATGCTGCACTGAAATGGCTATTGCAGTTCAAAAATCCGGAAGGACAAGTTGCGAGATGGATTGAACTACTGCAGGAATACGACTTTGTGATCGAACATCGCAGCGGGAAATCTCGTTGCAATGCAGACGAATTGTCAAGAAGACCTTGTACTGTAGATTGCAAGCATTGTACTAGGCAAGAGGGTAAGGAAGTGATATCTGTGAGGATGTTCAGGACAGACCAGTTCAGCAATGAGTGGGAGGACAGCCTACAATATGCACAGCAGGAAGATTCGGACATTTAGCTGATTCTGGAATGGATGAAGTCCAGTGCTCTTAAGCCCAGCTGGAGCAGCGTCTCAGCGATGAGTTCGACCACGATGAGCTATTGGGCCCAATGGGACAGCTTGCTGATTCAGGATGGAGTCCTGTACCGTAAACGGGAAAATAGTCGGGGAGACAGTTGTCATTTGCAAATGGTTGTCCCTAAGGCTTCTAATTCTACAGCTGTACCATAATGATTGTTCAGGAGGCCACCTGGGAGTTAAGCAAACTCTACTGAAGATCCGAGAACGGTTTTACTGGGTCAACTGTCGTGACGATGTCGAGGGCTGGTGCCGCAAATGCACAAGTTGTGCGGCTGTAAAGGGACTTCAAACTCGTAGTAGAGACCCATTGAAATCGTACAATGTTGGTGCACCATGGGAGAGGATAGCCATTGAAGTTGAGTATCTGGAAAGTGAAAGTGGTAACAATTGTTTCATGGTAGTGATGGATTACTTCACTAAGTGGCCAGAAGTCTTCGCCATTCCAAATCACGAAGCTTCAACAGTTGCTGATAAACTAGTTCATGAAGTCTTCTGTCGTTTTGTAGTACATTTAGAGATTCACAGCGATCAAGGAAGGAATTTTGAGTCTCAAATATTCCAGGAAACTTGCCGAGTTATAGGCACTCATAAAACAAAAACAACTTCTTACCACCCACAATCTGAAGGAATGGTAGAATGATTTAATTAGACATTGAAGAGGTACCTAACAAAATTTGTGAAAGAATAGCAACGAGACTGGGACAGGCACATACAACCATTTTTGTTGTCATATCGAAGCGCTGTTCACGAAAGTACATCAGTGACACCAGCATTCACAAACTTTGGGAGAGAATTACGGTTGCCTGCAGACCTAATTACTGGAATACCACCTGATGTCCCACGCAGTATAACCGATTATGCAAATGACTTGCGGAACAAAATGAATGACATTTATGAGCACTTCTGACAGTTGGGCCAGCAAACATCTGAGAAGATGAAAACATGGTATGACCGAAAAATGAACAACAAAGGGTTTGACGAAGGTTTACTATTGATGTTACACAATCCAGTTCGCAGCAAAGGGAAATCTCCTAAGCTTCAAGCTAAATGGGACGGACCGTACCGGATTGTGACAAAGATCAATGACGTAACGTATCGGAACATACAACCATTTCAACACAAATGCTCTAAGAGTCGATGCGCTTTTTGTCATAGAATGCATCACAAAACAATACACATGCAGAACCCTCCCATGAAAGTAAACACAGTTACTGCAATACACTTATATCCTGGTCATTATTATCTTCAACAGAGTTCATCGCTTACAGATTACTCTCAAAATGACTCGAACATACAGTATACACAAAACAAAATTACTAATATGCAACATTTACCACGTACACAATCTTGTAGCAATCATATTTCTCCGATCATACAACCTAATGTACTCAGACCACTGTTATCTAACATTAAATCTCCTCACATGAACACAAACGTAGAACATAATCAAGAATATATTCAAGTAGCTCCTTCCACAGTGCTAATTTCATATAATAAACATACCCAAGGATTGCTTGCTACAGCTATTGTCAAGGTTCAAAATTCTGCTGGTCGTTGGCATTCCGTACGAGCACTCTTGGACTCGGGAAGCGAGGTAAGCATTATAACTCACAGACTAGCGAGCTTATTAAAATGTAAATTTCGGTATAATCATTATATAATTCAAGGCATTGGAGAATCAAATCAACAAGCGCAACTATGTATTAACACAAACATAGCTTCTCACCAGACTGATTATAAAACAATTTTTAATTGCATCGTCATGAATCACATAACTGTTCCTCTCCCTCACCCATTGATAAAAACTGATACATAAAATATTCCATATAAAAAAATTTAAACGTCTAGCTGATCCCCAATTTTATATAAGTAAAGAAATTGATCTGCTTCTAGGTGTGGGAGGTTTTGACGATCTCCTATTATTAGGGCATATAAGTCTAGGTCCGTATCGAACACATCTTATAGAGACAGTTCTAGGATGGGTGGTATCAGGCACATTGGTAGTTGACAGTCAAGCTGATGTAAATAATGCACAAGTTTACTTACATATATCCACACAAACGCTGAATGATAAGAAAAAATCATACAAAAGTTCATACCCACTCCAGAACAACGCTACTATGAAAAACTAACATTACTACAACAACTTAAGATGAAAGAGGAAATTACATGGTAGAATTACCTGGACAGACAGTAATTTAACTTGGAAATTTATTTAAAACTGATTATCGTTGCTTTCTACAAATGGAACACAGAATTAAAAAAATCGAGATTTATACATAAAGTCCTTGGCCAAATTATTAGACGCACTGTAGTTTTTTAATAATTATATGTTTTGCACGAGTTTATATGCAATACTTTTATATTTAAATATACATGTAATGTGTTTTCATTCAGGAGATTTTTTATATATTTCTTATTTGAATTTATTTTAAATGTATTGCATTAAAATGATAACCAAATGACACACGAACGTAAACAAGTACAAATCCGTTTCAATCGCGTTCTCGCGTGCTTTAGTTGTTGGACGTGTTTCTGTGGCTTTATGCGCTGTATTTTGTTTTGCAGTTTTATAGTACGCAGTTATTTGTTCACTTAGTGTACAGTGTTTAAATAATCAATTGGAACATTTTAATCATGAGTAAAAAAGGCGATCTTTCACCACGTAAAAAAGCTGAAGTAAAGGCCCTCGTAAATGCTAAATTGTTTTCTAACCGCGAAATATCACGGAGATTGAAGGTTTCTGAAGCTAGCGTACGACGCAAAAGAAGAAAATTGAGTCAGGAGACGAATTGAGTCCGAAACAAAAGAAATGATGCGGCAGAAAGCCTATTTTTACTCCAAAGACAGAAAGATGTTGTAAGAAAAGTTTGCCTGGAAAACAGATTCGCAAGCACAAAACTGATAAAATCGCAACTCCAAGATGCTAATGAGGATATTTCTGAGCGCACTGTTCGAACAAAATTAAAAGATTTAGATTTTACGACCTGCCGTCCCGCCAGGAAGCTCAAGTTAACAGCTGCAATGAAAACAAAGCATCTGAAGTGGGTGAAACAGTGCGCGTGATAAAGATGAGGACTTCTGGAGATCGGTAAGTTAGTATAATTTCATCACATATGATGCATCTAATATCATTTTCTATGAAATAAAGAAAATACAGCACAGATGTTTAGGATGTTTATTAATTTTTGCTATTCTTAACAGGTCTGTTTCAGCGATGAAAGCACGTTTGAAATTTTGTGGAATAAAGCTCTATTTGTGCGTTGTCGTGATGGAGAAAAATTTCATCCTGACTGTGCCGTTCAGTAAAAGGTTTAATGAGGCAAGACCAGTACAAAGAAGTCTTACAAAATCGATTGTTTCCGCAGCTCAGAGAATGGTTTTCGAATGGGAAACCATTCAGTTTTATGTAAGATGGAGCTCCCTGTCACACAGCACTGTCTGTTAGGGTGTTTTTGGAAGAGCAAAATATCCCTCTGTTGGATTGAGCGGGTAATAGTCCCGATATGAATCCTATTGAAAATGTGTGGGGGCTGATGAAGAGAGAAGTGGCTAAAAATGTCATCACAAACAAAACTCAACTCTTAGAAAAGATTATTCATCTGTGGAATCATCATCCTCAAACGCAGGAGACAGTACAGTCTAACATTGATAGCATGTCGCGCAGAATTGCGGCTAAAGGTGGCTCAACAAAATTTAACATTTTATTGCATTCATTTAAAATGTTTTCAAGAGTACATTAATAGTTTTTTTTATATGATTATGATATTTTATTTGTGTTGTAAACAGATAATAAGGTGGATAATAAAAAAATATACATTGCATCTAGTAAAAACAATAACGCCCTATAGTATCACCTGAGAATTAAGATTTTACATATAATCTTATAGTGCGTCTAATAATATGGCCAGGGAGTATAATATAAAGAACTTTAAATGTCAGAATACATAACAAATTACCAAAATTCTGTTAAAAAAGCACGCATTACAATCACACTTCAACACAATGCTATACATCTCATCTAGAGCTCAATCTCAAATATTCATATATTCAACTTTGCAGACTAAAACAAACAACACTTTTTAAACGTGGTACAGCCATGCTGCAGCTATATTAATTGTATAGTTGTAGCACGAATGGGTCGGCTCGACCACGGAAGGACCACGCTCTCACAGAATACCAGCGTAAAATAGCAGCTTAATGCTGCTGTGTATCGTATGGTGAGTGTAGAGAAACGGAGAACCTTTTAACTGGAAAAGAGGCATTTTGTCATAGTCCTCACGGCTGACAACGCATCTGCATTCATTCGATTCTCAAGCGAGGACAGATGTAGATGTCTATGGGCCACAGCTACCACTTGCCATTAGGTGGACTGTGTGCTCACAAGTCCCCCTTATACTATTAAAAAAAAACTTATTTGCTAAATAAATATCTCTAAGCTTTTTTAAAACCAAGCACATCCAATCATAATTGCTGCGAAATATCATCGTACAACTACACTCATTGCACAACAGTATCATCTATGTGTGTAACATTCAGGCATAGAGAGCACTTTCTATAACATAAGAATAAAATATTGGCCTATCAACGGTCGCCATGAAGTTAAAAAGGTAATACATGGATGCGTTCGTTGTGAAAGGTTCCGAGCGCAAGTCTGTGAGCAACAGATGTCTTGCCTCCCAGCGGCAAGAGTGAATCTGGACCATCCTTTTACTCATGTTGGCGTAGATTTCAGAAGAGCTATTTACATAAGAATCTCTATGAATCGTAACTGCAGATATGTTAAAGGATTTATTTGCTTATTTGTATGTTTAGCCACTAAAGCTCTTCACTTAGAGCTGGTAGCTGACCTCTTTGCAAATGCATTCAATGTGCTTTAAAAATATTTATTTGAAGAAGAGGTATTTGTTGCTATATTTACTCAGACAATGCCACGAATTTCAAAGAAGCTCATCACGAACTAAATCTGTTATACAAGCTAATAATAAACTATTGTATCAAAAACGCATTTCAGTGGTCTTTTACCGTTTCTGTTGCAAGTCATATGGTTGGCCTTTCATCATCATCATCATCATTACAGCCCTTCACAAGTCCACTGCTGAACATAGGCCTCCCCCAAAGAATGCCACAAAGCACGGTCCTGAGCCACCTGCATCCATCGACTTCCTGCATGTCTTACCAGGTCGTCACTCCATCTCGTGGGGGGACGCCCTACACTTCGCCTACCGGTACGAGGCTGCCACTCGAGAACCTTTCTTCCCCATCGGTTGTCGGTTCTTCGAGCTATATGGCCGGCCCACTACCACTTCAGCTTACTAATCCGTTGGGCTATGTCGGTTACTCTGGTTCTACTGCGGATATCCTCATTCCTAAGTTTATCACGCAGAGAAACTCCGAGCATAGCCCTCTCCATAGCTCGCTGAGCGACCTTGAGCTTCCTCATACGGCCAGCAGTGAAGGACCACGTCTCAGTTCCATAAGTCATCACTGGCAACACGCACTGGTTGTACAATTTCGTTTTCAGGTTTTGAGGTATGTCTGACGAGAAGATGTGTCGTAGCTTCCCGAACGCTGCCCAGCCGAGTTGAATCCGTCGATTGACCTCTCGGTCGAAGTTGGACTTACCTAGTCGGACTATTT